AAAAAAAATTGAGAACACGATGACTGACTCAGGAGAAGCTTCAATGTTTCCAAATTAAGATGAAAACTCACCGATGGCATTTCATGAAGTGGAGGGAGAAATGACAGCAGACAAGACAAGTCTTGCTTCTATTCCGCCTGCAAGAAAAAAAATTACCACAAAAATTTACCATCTATCCAAGTCTATTTACTCATCTGTCGTTCGTAATAGTTTTTCCTGTTTAATTGTCTTATTAGCGGTTGTTTGAAGCCCTGAGTTAGGATTGTATATTTTTCTTTTTGGTTGGTGTGTCTGCTGGTTTGTTTTCCTTTCTTGTTGGTCTGTTTCAGGAAGGTTTGGGTCAGGTAGAAAACGGGAAGGAGGTTTGACTCGGGTCGAAAACAGGAAACAGGTTTGGGTCGGGTTGAAAACAGGAGGGAGGTTGTACCGTTGTACTTATGCCCCCTTATGTTAGATAGATCCTCTGACGTAATGTGATACAGTGGCCTATCATATCTTGTGATCTATCGAGCAACACGCGGCTCGGGACTGGTTAAGAGACTCCGTTGTAGTTCTGTCTTTATGCAAAAGTACTCATTCAAGGGGGTCGGGATAATTGGAAAATTTGAGCAGTATTTTCCAGTAACAACGGATGAACAACTTCCTGCTGATTTCAGGAAAACTTGCTATCTACATGATCATTGCTAACCAGATCATTGGCCTTTCTCTTACACACATTACTTCCCTGCAGTTTTGCTTTACCTACAGTCTTCATTACTCGACTTGCGACTCTAGTGACAAAAGCTCAATGTAATGTCATGTCATCATTGATTTATTTTCTTTAATAGTTGAAGATCATAGATTATGATTCGTCGACGCATAATTATATGAGTTTTGTATTTTTCAATATACACCCTTCTTATCACGTTCATTAAGGAAAGAACTGCCATGAAAACCTGAGTAGAACGTAACACATTAGAAGGGAGCACCAGCATGTAATTCCTTTATGAACTTATGCTGTTGTTTTACCATTAAAATTCTCCTGCTATGAACTTGCAGCTAATTTGATGTTTGACTCCAGACAAAGATTTTCACTTTGTAGCATTCAAAAACTCTTCCACAATATTTCTGAGATCCATTCTTATAACACCCAATCTTCTGTCTCTAACAAATTTTATAAACAAAGCTCTTGATTGTCAACTCGACCGCTGGCACTCTTTCCCCAGAATTGGAGAGAATAGCACTCGAGTTACCTGTGGGCTGGAAACTTTTAATCTGTCTCGAAAGTAATACATAAAATGCATTTATGCATGTAGGTATGTATGAGAAAAGAAATCAAACACAAAAACAGTAATGAGCGTGATAAATTAATGACCATGGTTACGATGATGGTGGAGCGGATAGTGTAATTCACCCCGTAAGCAAGTCGCACAGTCAGTCAGTCAGTCAATCAGTCATTCTGCCATCACAGTGTCGATAAAAATGATCCAACTCACCTAAAAGATCGTTAAAGCGCTAACCAATGTTGTCGAAATGAATTGCGTCGAAAATTTGAAATCTAAACGTGAAATTCAGATAAAGTTAAAACAATTTTTTTCAACAAACGACTGGGTGTCACTTAAATCATCTCCTTATTCAAATGGTTCCTGTTCATGGCTCAAAGACATGGCGCGAACTGAACATCTTTACCTTTCCTTGGTTTGTAGAAGCGACGAAGCAGCCTTGAAAACCAGTTTAATCCAACCATATTCCCCCTGTTTGAAGCGACACAAAAAGAAATTATATCACCGATCTGGAGTAATTAGAAAATCATGATCATCTGAATGAGCTTATGCAAAAACGAAAGAAATTGATTCACTTGATTCATTCATCACCAATGTATATATCAATGGCCGCTCTTTTCTTTACATACACGTTCTTTTCAACCGAACATGACAACCTTACACGTGGGCCAAAGGAATCAAGGCTCATTGGAGCGCTTTCCAAACCAATCACAAAGAGTAATGGGTGAATTGAAAGATTCAACTATAAATCTAAAAGCGTTTAGTCAAAAGTTCTGCGGTCTGATTGGCTTCGCTAATCCTTCACTATTTAACAATAAGAGTGAAAGATTTCTATTTGAGCAACAGACCGAACTTTCTATCGGTGTACCGGCATAGTAACCTACTTGAGTTATTGGGAGAACACGACAAAAGTTTGTAAATCACTCACCTCAGGCTCTTTATTAACAAATTTTTCCCGCTTTCTTTTAACATCCCAGGTTAGTTTTCTCGCCGGTAAACCTATAACTTTGCAGTCTATTGCTTTTACAGTATAACTTAGAACAAAGCAGATGGCTTAGCCAGTACAATAAACAGTAGGGTTTTAACCAATCAGGGCGTAGTATCTAAGTTATTCCATAACGCGTAGCAGTTATGAGTGCGATGTCTGAGTCGATCAAAACGCAGAGAAAATCCCAAGCGACAAATCTCACTGGTTTAGAATAAACAAACAAATCGTAGAAAACTTAGCAACAAGACAGGCTGGTGCAAGCAGTAACTCCTCCCCAATCTCCATCTATGGACAGCTTTTTTATAGCCAGCGTTCAAAACTGTGAGACGATTGTCACGAAAATCGCGAGTTATCGACGAAATATCGTGCCATAGAAACTCTTGTCTTGTAAATACCGAAAGTAACCATTATCATTTTGTTAATGCTTTACTTCGCTCTGTTATTGGTCCAGAAAACTTGCACCACTTTTTCAACCAATCAGATTCAAAACTAAAACCAATCACGACTGGGTCGCCCGCGTTTTCCCGCGTTTCAGGATGTTTGGTCGTTTTTTACTTGGACTTGTCGTATGGCTCTGTAAGGTAGAAGCTGTTGTTAAGACAATCGCGATAGAGTACTGAACCATTCAAACAAGTTTTGCCTTGGGCGATATATCGTTTCAACTCAGCGATATATATTATCATTACGTATCTTGTTTCCTTATGCAGATCTCCAGGAAAGTTTCAATTTTCTTCCGCTTATTTTGCGAGAGAGTGCTGGTTTCTTATGTTATCCTTTAAGGCGGAAATTAACGCACGGCTAACCAGAATTAATCACCTCGCGCATGCCCGATGTTAAACTGCTGTGTGCTGTGTTCCTCACATGTGACTTACCCTTCTCTCAGACTTCTTTCTCACTTCACGATAGAGCAGGATACCGAACCTCATCCAAATGAATGCAAGGCAAAGGTTGATTAGAACTGACCCCAGATATGTGAGGTAAAATAATATATACATATATTGAGAAAAGGAAAAAACAAAGAGACTATACTTTCATCCCTACAAGCTTGTTTTGTGATTACTCACTCATCAGGGGATTTTATAGTCAAGAATATTCGTAACCATCGTTTATATACTTTACGAACTTGCATAATAGGCGTGGCGGTAAACTTTGTTCAATTGTTACGCAGTAACGCTTTGCCTCTGTGGCTGCATGAGGACACGAGTTCATTACGTTTATTGATGATAATTCAGGTCGGCAGATGATAATTAATTTTTCTTTGAGGCAGAGTTTGCATCTCTTGCTTGCGCTGTTGTAGGGTGATCTTGATGCAAGGATCAGAAGCGCGATGAAATGAAGTGTTATTTTCTTTAAGGGTACCAGAGTATGT